TCACCTAGATAGGATAGATAGTAGAATATTTTCTCAGAATTTGACAAATACAAATAGACTGGATTTGTGAATGTATATCTTACCTGATAATTGTTCTTATTTTATATAGTTTTACTGTGTTAGAGTTAAAAACCTTTCTTTTTTATTTAGACAAAAAGGGGGAAATGTTGTAGGATATTTGATCACACTGTGAAACCCTGAGACTGTGTTAATAAAATCAACCTTGGATCAGGGACAGAATCAGTGATTAGTTGACAGGAATTAGCCATAGAGAGTATGGAGGAGCCAGGAATTCAGACAGAGATGCACAGGAAGGGGTAGGTGTAGACGAATTGCTAAACGACCTTATTAATAAAAAACCCAGAGCCAGATATTGGAGTTAAAACCTGAGAGATCAGAGAAATAGGAAAAGCCACAGTCCACCTCACCTCACTAGCCCCCAGTCTCCAAAGAGAGCTACTTCCTGTATACCCACGCCTATATGCCTTTCTGTTCTGCCATCTTATTTCCTCTCTCTGCCCAGCTACATTACTTCCTATCTTTCTGTACAGACTTCCAGACCTCTATGGTTAGGGCTGGAATTAAAGGCGTGTTTCACCATGCTTGGCTCTGTTCCCCAGTGTGGCCTTGAACTCACAGAGATTCGGATGGATCTCTGCCTCCCGAATGCTAGGATTAAAGGCATGTGTGCTACCATTGCCTGACTTCTGTGTTTACTATAGAGGCTGGCTTTTCCTCTGATCCTCAGATAAGCTTTATTGGGGTACACAGATAAAATATCACCACAGGTAGGGAGGGACTAAGAGATTCACAGTCTCACAGTCTTTTTTGGTTTGGAATGAGTGGAGGGAGGCACGCTTGCTGGGTCTCTGGACAAAAAGGAAGGTCAGTTCATTGCTTCTCAGCTTCTCTGATCCAGCAAGTTTTCACCCCAACATCTTACCCCCGAGTCTTCACTGGTGAATAGAACATTTTAGTTAAAAACAACACACACTGTGGTTTGAATATGAACCCCAGAGTTCGTTAGTTGAAAATAATCCCTAATGCAGCAGTGTTGGGAGACAGGGCCTAAGAAGAGGTCATCAGTGTGTGAGGACTCTGAGGTCAGGTCACATTATCCAGGATGTGGGCTGGTTCTCTAGAGAATGTTGTGTCCAGGGGTATGGGCAAAATAATGGGGTGCAAACCGCAGTCTAAAACCAGAAGCAAAACTTTATTCCAAAAGATTTGCTGTGGGGTGCAAAAAACTTATCAGCTACCTGAGATCACAGCCAGAGTTCAGGATTCTGTGACTGTGGCAATTGGAAGGGGGTTATGGGCCCCTTTTTATAGTAAGGGGAAAGTATTAGGCATGGACAAAAGAAGTTTCACAATTTTGAAGTTAAACTTTTAGAGACAAATTGCTTTTTAAGATTTACAATTTTCCATTAACAAGGTTTTTGAGGGTTTCAGCTAATTGATATTTGTGTATCTCTGAAGTCTTTCCTGACACTGCTAACTGATGTTTGCCCCTGCAGCGTGTCCTGACAGCTGGGTTCCCATAGCGGGGGAACACAAAACAGTGCAGAGCAGCTTGTCACGTGGAACTCACTGAAAGTTAACTTTGGTTTCAGTAGTGAATGGTAGGGAGTATTCAAGAATAGCTAGCCCCTGGTCTGCAGAGAGCAATCTTTAGTTAAAAACAACAAACCTTTGGGTTGCTGACAGAGCTGCCCATCATAAAACAGGGAATGGCCCAGTTAAAGGGTAATCCCCATTTGCTGGCAGAGCTGACGGCTGTCGACTTCCATCTCTCAAGCTCACAACTTTTTATTCCTATATTTCTACCTTATTCCTACATTCCTGGACCTTCAGAGAATGGTTTGTTATCAGTCTGGTCCCTGTCTGTCTGTCTTTCATGTGCTTGCTGGCTTACTATGTTTTAACAAAACAAGAAGGTCCCCACCACATGGCCCCTTGATCCTGGGCTTTCCACCCTCTGGGCACATGGAGCAAATAAACTTCTCTGTGTGTCATTTACCCAGCTGAGGAATTCTGTTAAAATTCAAAAGTCAAAGCCCCTTACAGGAGAGACAAGAGGAGCTAAGGAGCTTGCCGATGGCCAGGTGTGTGCTGCCCAAACCACGGCTCTCCTCCGTGTCACACCAATCCCAGGTCTGTGTTCCCTTGCTGGCTCCTTCTCTTCCTGGTTGTGGGGTCATAGACCTTACCGTGCCCCACCCATGCCCCCTTCCAAAGCTCCGTGAGTACAATCCAAGCCTCTTGACTAACTCACGCCTTCCCTCTCCTTCCGTCTTGGGTGCCAGGATGCTTGCAGCTCCGTCTTTCGTCACGCCCTTCCCTTTATCTAGAACATCTCCTTTCTGTTTTTCTGCTAAATGGCAGTGTTTAGCCTTAAGACCTAGCTCTTCAGTGCAAGCTTCTTGTTGTCTCCTTGTAGACAGAACTCATGCCTGCCGGTCACCACAGTGAGGGTCCCCGCGGTGCTGGCGAGGGTCCCCTCAGTGCTGGTGAGGGTCCCCGTGGTGCTGGTGAGGGTCCCCGCGGTGCTGGTGAGGGTCCCCGCGGTGCTGG